GGTTTATCCATAGATTGATAAATTCGAAATAAATATTGAAATTTTAATTGTTGTATTGAAAAATAAAGAATAAAAATGTGATTATTAAGTTATTTAATTTTTTACAACATTCTTTTATCTTTAGAAATGCATCACACTAAAAAAAATAAAGTCTTCTTTGTACTTTTTCTGTGCAGTTGTAAAAAAATTCTAGCTGTCTGTATTTTTGGTGTAATACATTTTTAAAAAGGGCCTATTTTTTACCAACTGGTTAGGGCACCCTGTATACTGAAATTGCTTCCGTTGTAATTTGAGCTATTGAGTCGTTTTTGAAGAGCTGTGACTTAGTTTAGCTCTTTACAGTTAGTTTTCAGGTGATAATCGAAGAATAATCCAAAAATCACTCACCTCAAAGCCGAATCTAGTCTCAGCCATGCATTGCTTCGAATCAGCCTATCCGACTGCGCTACTAAACACTGTTCTAATTGCACTTTAATTTTAAACAACAGATCATTAAACGGCCTACTCCAGTTCTGGTCGACCATCTTGCAACATCTCGCATAACTCCTGCAAGCCTGCTCGACACTTAAATTTCCTGCAGCAGCGACCATTTGGTCCTCGACTTGTCCAACACTCCATCCCAATCCAGCATCCAATGCTACAAACGACGGCGATGCTAACACCGCTGCGAAATGTTGTCTATGATACAAATGACAAGCATCCGAAAGTTGCAAAACTAGCTGAGTGACAGGCTCGGCCCATCGCAATGCGGGCAAAGTGGCCAAGACTTTATCACAACTCACTATTGTTTCTAGGACTTTGTCGGCTGTCATATGGACGACGTGTTGTTGGTAGCACTTCTCGCGCAATTCGCGAGGCAAAGTGGCAAAAGCGCGACTTGGCCAGACTCTGACGAAGTGCTGAGTGATCCATTGGAGGCATTTTTGGTACAAGTCGTCTAAACCATAAGCGGCTGATAAGGGAAGGACTTCGAGGACTCCGGTGCAGCAGCCGGCACATGGTTTGTGAAAGTTGTGACAGTGACGCTGTTTTAAAGCATGCTCGACTACTTCTTTGAGGCCTTCGAGACCTAACATGTCGGCTAGGGAGGCTAGTTCGACGAGGCTGATTGAGTCGGGCACGTGGGCGGCCCCACTGTAGATATGACAGAGAGCGAAGTAAACTGATTCATACGAAAAGCCCTAAAAAACATTATACATTAGAAACAAGCTGCTAGCGTTTAGCTAAAAAACAATTTTATTTAATTAGAAATCATTTTAGATCATAGCCTTTAATTAAAAAAAAATTGTAGTAGGTTGCTATTAAACAATTTTTTTGCAAATCTGTAAAAAAATCACATTTTTATAGTACTGCACTAATTACACTAGCCAACAAGCATTTTGTGACTGAGAATAAAACAGTTATTTTTTGTTCACTTCTATGTGCTAAACTCAAAAATGAAATGAAAATTCCATAGAACGTCAAATTTTAAAGTTAGGCATTTTAAGATATCATATATAAGTATGTTCGACAAAATCGGCGAAAAACGAAACACTTAAATTCATTTTCTCCATTCTCATCTCATTTTTCCCCCCCAAATTTGGGTGTCGTTAGTGACGAGCAAGGGGAAAGGTTCCACTACGATATATTGACGATGGAAAAAAGATACCAAGGGATTACTGCTGATAAAGGAAGTTAAAACACCCTACAAAAGAAAGTCAGCTTTTGCAAAAAACTCATCTACAACAGATTTATGTTAGAATCTTATACATCTTTCAACATTGTTCTTGTTTAGTGAATAAATTAATTTCTTTCGTCGTCTATTTAATTAATTTTTATTTGAAATGAACAATTTTTACGATAAAATTTGAGAAAACTATTTTCCTGTAACTTAAAATCTGTACGTGATGGAGAATTTTTCTTATCAACTTCGTAATTAGGCATGTTAATACCCTGATACACGTGTCAATAGATCAATCACATTAAAAAAATTGTTGGGTAGTGTTATTTTTTTTTTTTCGTAAAGTAGGTAAGTAATTAGTTTATGTTAACGCTTGGTTCCATACTTTTTATTTATGCAATCACAAAATGCTTCTTCAAATCCTACTGAATGCGCCAATCAAAGAACAAAACTTGGTTTTGTAAAAAGAATATTACAATTGGCAGCAAGACGATGGATGTACTGGACTGCTGAATTCCAAAATATATTATGAAAAATTGCTCATTTTTTCAAGTAAACAAATGTTTTTTTTTGAAAAATGATTACTACACTGAATTTTCTTTCAAAATACTCCAAAATTGTTCAAACTCTTTGTCTTTCTCAGGGCCGCCACAAGCGGCGGATGCAGGGCGTGTGGCGTACGACAAGCAACAAATTTTTATAAAATCATAAATAAAAAAATTGAATTACTCAAACAATAAAAGATACAAAAAAATAAAATAAATGAACACAATTTAAAACAAACTACACCCCAATATGCGGAGGAAGTCATCATACTAGAGGTCCAGGGCAGGTTTCCTACGTCAAAAGAAGAAAAAAATTCCTAAAGACCTATGTTTAGAAATAATTCCTAAGGGAGCTAAAAAAAAAGCTAAAAGATCTTTTTTTCAATTATCTCAGTAATCGGTAGACATAAATTTACAAAAGATTACATCTGACGTAATTTTTTGGCGCTGAATCTATTGGTGATATTACAAATTATTTCAAGAATTTTATTTTTTTTCTACCAGAACAGATGCAGTTATACAATTGCGGTATCATATCTGTAGACTTTTTGATACTCTGATGAAAATATTTGAATATGATTCTTCTTGGAATATTGCTACTACCCATAAAACTCCTTTACATAATTTGAATTTTTCACATTCAATGCCTTTCATGACTTTTTACAAAATCGTATTAGTTGTTTCATCACAATTTGAGTTGATATTTGAAACAAAATAAATGATGCGGAGTTTTAAAAGTGTAAATTTTCTTCAGAATCTAATCCATATTTCATTTTACAAAATATCATTCAAATAAAAGCTTAAAAATATAAAAATTCTTTGTTCCCCTTTAACCAAATTTTTATTTCGTAGCATTGGTCCTCTTCTCGGTCTTATCAAATTCGATTAAACGGGACTGTAGGTAGTATAAAATTTAGATAAGTACAGTTTTTTAAGTAAAATTTTCAATATAAAACTTATTTCATTATTAACAACTTTAGGAAACAATGTTTTAAATTAAAATAAATAAATATTTTAAATACTTTTTAATTAATATTTTTTAACTTTTATTATTGACACTTGTTGATAACTAAATTTAATAAAAATTCTCTTTACTTTTCAATCATAATAAAATTCTGTGAATATATTTTTTATATGTACAATGGAATTGCCCATACTTTATTAACAAAAAAGGGGGCGCCAATTTCAAATTTGAATTTTTATTTATGGCCCGATTTCAAAACAAAAAAAAACTGATTACATGGCTTTTGATTTAGTGTAAGCTAACGATTTCAGAATTTTTCTACATCATAGTATATTTTGGGCTATATTCAACTTTCGTATTTTAAATTGGGACCCATATTTTTGAATAATGACGTCTTCGACATTTTTTTTTAATGGAAACCCCTAATTTTTTTAGCCAATTCGATAGATCAAAAGATCTTTAAAAACTTGTGGAAATGACAACACCAAAATATTAAATATTACAAGTGTTCGAAAAAAAATCTGCAAAAAAGCGAAATAATATCAACAATATTAAATCAAATTGAGAATTTTGTATTTTTTAAAAAGAAAATTAACCTGTTCGAGCATTGTCAAAACAAAATATTTTCAGTTTTAAAAAACAAGATTATTCCATAATTTTACCGCTCACTGAAACTAAATAATAAAATATTGGATTTATAAATAAAACAAGTAATATAACTCGAAATTCAAATGCTTTTWAATTCTCGTAATTCACTAAGTGTGCGTTATTGTAAAAATAATTAGAAGTAATGGAATTATTTTAAAATGACCGATGCAAGTTTTAAGAAATTAATTAAAAATCCGATAAGTCAAGAATTTAGCAATATAGGATAGGAGCTAAAAAATATTCGTAACCCTTACTGTAATTTAAGCCTTATCAGAATTAATCAAATGTCTTCGTTTTATCAACGGTAAAAAAATGTTATGCAAAACATCTCTTGTTTCGAAGACCTACACAAAATTTACCACTCGTAATTTCTATTGTATTATGATTGTTATAAATATATTGTTTGTTTTTGGTATCAAATAATAACATGGATATTGGCCGAGAAATAAACGAAAAAAGTAATTTCATGGTTATTTTTCAGAGATCCATTGAAATAGAAATTATTTTTATAGTAGGCCATCTTAGTGTTTAAACACTTAATTAATAAAAATGAAAACATACTTGTAATGAGATAATATTTCCGGAAGCTTCCAACCAATTTCCRCTCAATAAGGCGGCGAAATATTGACATCTAGACGCCAGAATGCATTTGTGTGCTTTCAATTTATGYCCGTCTACTTCAACGGTAACATCTGGTCCAATTTCTTCCAAAAACATTCGAAGTAGATCTGTTCCTAAGCGTTGCACTGAACGTCTGGGTTGAGATACGCTGGTATCAGTAGCGCTACCAGAATCAGAAAAATCTCCAGATTCGGGTTCGAGAGGATGTGGGGCGCTGCGATACCCAGCAGATCTCGACATCAGAAGTGGACTTTCCACCCATGAACTCTCGGGGATGGATTTGCTCATTCGGGGAGTGAAATTCAGATCCATTCTTGGTTTTTGACATTCTAAGTCGGAGAGTTTGACAAACTGGGGTCGCTCCTAAAATGAAAAAAAAAATTAAAATGAAAATTTCCCACAAAAATGATTTTCCCAAAATTTAAGTATACCATTCTTGTAAAAAAAAAACAAATAACGATGATTTCTTGGTTAAATTTTACGCCTACGTTCTATTACGCATTTTGATGATTACTAAACTTGCTAATGGAATTCTACCAGTATATTTTGTAGGTGTAGTTCCATTAGTATGTGATCCCTTTTTTGTTACATGTAACCTTAAACATTCCAAAAATGGTATTCTGCTATTCATCATCATTTATATTTGCAAGATAAAAAGATA